TCCATCTCTGGTATGTGCAATGTACGTCAGAACCCTCAAGCAACGCAACTATGACACCATCTTTGATTGACCAAATTCTGACCAAATTGTTCTCCTAGAGCTAATTTGGCTAGAAGTTCCTTTCTGGGAATAGTTCGACCCTTTTAACACTAATACCTCTCTCTCTCCTCTCTCTCTCTCTCTCTCTCTCTCTCTCTCTCTCTCTTTCATATGGCTCAGCAACGCCTGGCGGCGGCGCCAAAACACCTCGAACTTTTTAACTCTGTCCGAAACTGAACCTAAGGCCCCCCAAAAATGAACCACCTTTTATCATTTTCTTCAGATGCTTCTGTTTCAACGAATCCTTTCTTTCTTCAATGGACATGGAACTAGATTGGCGTAACTATGCCTGATGTGTGCGCTATGGGCATCTGGAACGAAAATACCTGAGGCACGCCAGGTATACTCCTTATCCCTGAGCCAGAGTAGGCGTGGCATTTGAACATGGCACAGAACGGGTTACTCGTGGGATATTTCAGTTTGAGACAACTGTCATCTTGTTCTGCATTGGATAGAGACACGACCACAATTGTGTCAAAATGGAAATATTCTCCAAAAGCACAGTAACCGCCACGTTTAGTTGGAAAACGCAGCCACGCCTACCCCATCTCTAGGATTTCGAGAGTATTTCGTGTCAACGGATGTGACATTGAGGGTCGAACCACTCCGCAGCAAAAAGTTTCCGCCTCTATGCTCGAGGAAAACTGTGCATCAAAATCTGATCCTGAAATTCGTGCCAAAATAGAAACAGAAAAAAAGGAAATAATGTGAAAATTGCATTGATAGATGAGGACTAGAAGAACGTTCAAAAAGGATTCTGTAGGATTTGTATGGTGCAAAGAGATGAGAAAGATATTCGCCAGCCACCAAACACAGTTCCAAATGCGGTTGATGGAATTCTCAGATCGCCATCTCCGCCGACCTTTGAGTCACAGCTATGGGTCGCGATCGAGAAAGACAAACGAATGGTATGTGTGCCAGTGCTCGAACGTAAAGAGAAATCGAGCAAGGTAAGCATAGCGGAAACCATGGGGTGTTGCTGTATCAGTAGAAAAAAAAGGGAAAGAACGTTGTTCCTCAAATGGAAACCCAAAGCATGAGAAAAGAAATTATTTAAGGGATAAATATCTATGCGAAGCTGGTGGTCCGTTTCGCCTCCGATTCAGACGAAGCGCTGTACATCGTTGGCTCTCCTAGGGCTCTTCAGTGGAAAGGGGGACCAACGAATTACATTTATGTTCCTTACAGAAGCCCCTAGCCGAAAAAGGTTGTCGTGTAAACGTAAAAAAGAAGCGAGTGGCAACCATGGAATGATAGCTAATGGCACGTGTGAATTTCATTTTGAACAGCACATCTAAAGCAAAAGCAAGACAGCTCACCATCGTGGATCTGCTTTGAACCCGCTTTTCAACCAAATCGACGGTCCGCTTTGTTGGATGAACGCCCACGTAAATGGGAGGCCATGTATAGTTCTTTTGCCCATGTATATCCACATGACGCTTCAGAAAGCCAGCCGATTCACTTCTGAAATAGGAAGTTTAAAGTGAATGAATAAATTTCTCTAACTCTACATAGTTAGTAGTGCTTTTACTGAAGTTTTCTATTTTTCGAGAGACATCAGGCGCTAGCCTTTTCAAACAACTGGTATTTAATTTGTCCCTCGAAAGTGGCGTGGTGGTTACAACTTTTTACGAAGTTGTTAGGACTGCTCCGTTGGCGTATGCTTCGGCGGAAACCGCTTCCTTCAAGACCTGGAGGGCCCGGATGGAATTTGTGGCTACATAGCTAAATGCCTAGACGTCTCTTGAAAAGGCTAGCGCCTAAGCATACGCCAACGGAGCAGTCCTAACAACTTCGTAAAGAGTTGGAACCAACACGCTACTTTCGAGGGACCCTAGAATATAGAAGGTTCCGTACGAGTTCTATTTGTATTTATTATAGTTGCTCAACTGCCTGTTCCCAACTGATCGGAGTAGGATGTGTGTGCCATTATTTCCCTGTGCACAAATAAGAAGAGCATTTCCTGAGTAGTTGACTGACGCTACATGCGGTACGGCCACATTAAAACTAGTGTGATCCTGGTACACATGCCGCGCTTGCAACGAAGCCTTCTAAGAACAAGAAACTAATGAGCTATAAGTCAAATATTGGTGCAAAAAATATGACGTCCATTAG